AAAAATAAATTTAAATTGGTTGTTGGGCTTCTGAGCAGAGGTTGTGTCATTTATTATATCTCTGAGGTTAGAGACAGATTCCAGATCACCTCTCCAGCAGTTTTATCCCTACTGGTAGTTCACAGTATAGGCAGCATAAGGGAATAGTAGGTTACCGCTCCTGGGAGTTTTTCTGATTACCCCATTTTGGAGATTCCTGGATATTATTTTGAAAACATGTAACCATTGGAACAGTGGTAGCCTCTAACAATACCCTGAATACACAGGGTAAATACACAGGTGTGTAGCAGGCAGGTACAAACCTGAGCAGTTGAACCCTAGTGGGGCACAGGTTGTGGTAGGAGCATAACTATCATTTGCCACTGTAGAAGTAGCGGACTCCTGGGTGAACATGTGCCCCAAGTGGAGTCATTTTTGGAGTTTTGGGTGGACATGTACCCCAAGTGGAGTCATACATTTCTTGCCAGTTGGTTGGCATATCTCAGAAGGCACAAACCGACTACTATAGCCCCAACATTAGTTCCCATTCCTGATGACCTAGGTTTTCTTGGTAGGGTTACAATGACTTTAACATAATCATTTTGTTCAGGTTCAATTTTTATACCAACTTTGCAATTAATTATGTACAGAATGGAAAACTTAACACTGGAAAGGACCTGTAGAAGGAACTCCCTTTTCCTTTTTGTTTAATTTTTTAAAAGTTATTTATGCATACAAGAACTGGGGTGTAGACCAGAGGTGCGGGGGATGAGAGGATTCACCAGAGACAGAGTGGGGAGCAGAACAGGTGGATCTACTGAAATACACTGCTGAGGGGAGCAACAGGCGAGACAGAAGAGTTTGTGGAGTCTGTTCAGGACATCCTCTCCCCCAACAGTTATGGTCTGAGAAATATACATCATCATAATTCTTTAATAGCAAAAGAAGACCACAGGTGGTTAAAAGTAACAGGATGAAAATAGGGAAGATCATATTAAGAAAAGCTTAAGTCGGTTAAAGAGGGTGTTGAACATAGTAATAGGCACGATTACTAGGAGAACATGGGTATGGAAAAAGAGTACTGAAGAGCCAAAAATTACCCTTGTTCTGTTGTCTTTCACAAAAGCTGTTCACGTGTGCAGTTAGCATCTTGTCCCACTGTCTTACACAAAAGCTGCTACATTGAGCTTCCAGAGAATTCTAAGAACTCTAATGGACTGGATGTCCAGTACTCAGGAGAAAGTGATGCATGTCTTTTTAGTTGGGAGACGTGAATCCAAGCATCAGCAACTTGGAGTTTTATAGGCCTAGCTATCTGTTAAAAGTTCTTTTTATAGACTCAAGAGCAATGATTTTTTTCTGATTCTTCCCCAGAAGACTATAAATCTCCAGGTTTCAGATCATGCAGAGCTACTTAGGTGGGTGTTCTGGAATTGTAGCTTATACTTATTGGTGATAAATCTGGAGGTATTAGATGTCCCCCTGCAGAAACTAGTCATGTAAGTTTATAATGGTTCATTCTAAGATTGGAGTGAATCAGAGAAATAACTTATGGGTATCAAGGAAGTAATTTTTTTACATCATGCTGTGTTAACTTTATTTAAGTATCAAGACCTTTCTATACAACTGTGTCACTGGAAAGTATTCCACCCACTGACTGTTTAACCAGACTAAATATTCCTGGAGTACACTAAGTAAATGGAAAATATCTTGATTAAAGTTTTTCAAGAGAGGGAAACAGACAGCAAAAGAAAAAATAAAGTAAAGGGGCACTACTTCAGACAAATATGAAGGTACATTCGAAAAGGCTAATCTTCAAGGAGAAGATACTTTAAATGGAGAGAAACAGATTTTGACATACACACGCACACACAAAAGAGTGACATTCCAGCTAATCTTAAAAATAACATAGGCAGGGGCCTCCCCGGTGGCGCAGCGCTGGGTGGCGAAGCTGCCCCCCACCCCCCCCCGCAGCCTCTGCAGCGCCGGTTCAATCCCCGGCTGCTCCCCGGCCACCGGAGGCGGGTCGCACATGGCACGCAGACCTCTCCTGCCGCCCGCTGCTCCCCTCAGCAGTGTACTTCGGTCCTTCTGCCTGCTCTGCTCCCCGCTCTGGCTCTGGTGAATTCTCTCACCCTCCCGCGCTTCTGACTGTACCCAGTGCTTGTATAAATAAATAAATAAATCTTAAAAAAAAAAAAAGGCAGTTGACAATAGAGCTATATGATTAAAAATTCAGCATTTATTAACCTCCAAAGTACAGAAATAAAATCACACCTATATTAAAATAATCTCTTTTTGACAGACACTCTCCTCATGGGGGTCTCTTCCCTTTTGTTCTGAGGTACCTCTCAAATAAACAATTTAGTTCTTGGGGGCCTCCCTGGTGGCACAAGGGGTTAAGCACTGCACTGTGAAGCAATCCACAGCCTCTGCAGCATGCGTTTGATCCCCGGCCAGCCAGAGAGAAACCCATATGGCGAAGCAGACCTTTCCTGTCTCGCCCGCTGCTCCCCTCAGCAGTGTATTTCAGTCATTCTGCCTGTTCTATTCCCTGCTCTGTCTCTGGTGAGTCCTCTCACCCCTCGCGTCTCTGGCCTGTACCCCAGCTCTTGTATGCATAAATAAATAAATCTTTAAAAAAAAAAACAAATCTTGTTCTTGCCTAGATTTCCCCAAAATGACTACTGCAATTCCAAATTGCACCAAATGAAACTGTTTTAGAGAAGTAAACATGCAAGTAGTGTCATCGCGAGAAAACATGAAGGAAGTAGGTATCAGGTCACTTTTGGTTGAGAGGTCTGTAAGCAGGGCGCTGTGCAATCCTACCCTGAATCTCTAGGACTTGGCAAAAAGCTAATCATAGTTGATCAGGGACCAGAGGCAACGACCTGCTTCTGGGCAGAAGAAATGAAAGAAAGCAGCTCTCAAGAACACAGACAAAACTCAGAGAGAAGTCCTTATAAAGGCTTGAAATAGTGACCAGAGGCAAAGTTTATCCAAAGGACACTGTTCTGTGGATACTTTCTGAATTCCACAGCCTCTAGGGTTAGTTTGTAGCATAGACTTACTGCGCCTTGGTTCATTCTGCTAATAAACTAGACTCTAGCATGCTAACTAGTACGCGACCCTCAGTGGTTGGCACCCCCAACTCTTAAAAGGAGAAGTGGGGTTCACTTACCAAAGACTGAGCAATAATAGACTTATGATGCCCTTAGACATTCAGGATTGCTCACATGTCCTTTCCCTAGACTTTTCCTTTCTAGACAAATAACATTCAAAATGCTAGGTAAGAGGACAGACTGTAGAACAAAACTTTTACACACGGTGGGAATCAAAAACTTTGTATGACTCGCTATACTGTGATTTTTGTTATTTCAGTGGTCTGGAATAAACCTGAAATATGTCCGGGGTATCTGTACCTTGTAACTAACCCACCCCATACATTTGCCTCCTGCAGGCATTTAAGTTGACTCCCCCTCACTAAGCAGAAAAGGCACCAAGCAGGCCCAGAGACTCTGGTCTAGGATCACCCAGAGAACTGGTGCAGGGTGAAACTAGAACTATGTTTAGTTTTTCCTCCAGCAAAAGTCCCTGCTAGACTTAAGTCCACTGTTAAATCTGTGATGTAGGGCCTCCCTGGTGGCGCAGTGGTTGAGCGCTGGGTTGCGAAGCTGCCCGCAGCCTCTGCAGTGCCGGTTCGATCCCCGGCTGCTCCCCGGCCACTGGAGGAGGGTCCCACATGGCGCGCAGACCTCTCCTGCTGCCCGCTGCTCCCCTCAGCAGTGTACTTCGGTCCTTCTGCCTGCTCTGCTCCCCGCTCTGGCTCTGGTGAATTCTCTCACCCTCCCGCGCTTCTGACTGTACCCAGTGCTTGTATAAATAAACAAACAAATAAATAAATCTTTAAAAAAAATCGGGGGGGGGAAGGATTGGGGTCAAAATAAAGGGGTTGCAATTGTTTGGGGAATATAAAAATAAAATTAAAAAAATAAAAGATCTCTCATCCAAATTAAAAAAAAAAATCTGTGATGTATCACCTCTCAAAAGGATGCAGCCGGGGGTCGGATGAAAACACTTTCCACCAGTTAACAATGTATTCCTCGGGTAACTAGGATTCTAAGACCTTTGCCCAGCTGCGCCAGTTGGAGACATTCTTTCTGGTCTCCAACTCTTCTAGGGTCTTGCCAGAGGGCCTTTGCACTTGCCTGGAACTCTCCTTCACACCACCAAGGGGTCGCTTCTCGCATTCTGACGGTCTTTACTTCTCACACCCTAGCACTACTACCATCTCCTTTGGGAGACTACCGCCCTTGGCCTTCTTTCTTTATTTTTTAAAAAGATTTATTTAGTTAGGCATACAAGAGCTGGGGTACAGGCCAGAGATGCGGGGGGTGAGAGGACCCACCAGAGACAGAGCGGGGAACAGAACAGGCAGACTGACAAACACACCGCTGAGGGGAGCAGCGGTGAGGCAGGAGAGGTCTGCTGCGCGGTGTGGGTAGCTCCTGGCCGGCCGGGGATCGAACTCGTGTTGCAGAGGCTGCGGGTTGCTTCATAATGTGGTGCCTAGCCCCTTGTGCCACCAGGGGGGCCTTGGCCTTCTTTCAGGCTACAGGACAACGCTCCTGCTCTCTCCTCTGTATGTCAAACGCGGGGCCGGGAAGTGGGAGCCCTTGTCCAAGCCCCTGCCTCCCTGAGCCTCCTCTTTCCCTTCAAGCCCGCGAAGCGCTGAGAGAGCAGAGACCCAACCACCGGACGTGGACGTAGCTGTCCACACCAGAGGGTGGCCGGCGGCCTCCAGGATCACGTCTCCCGGCCAGGCCGGGGACCCAGCCTCCAGGCTCGGGAAGCCCCGGCAGCACGCACGCCCTCGGCGCTCCGGGGACCACCGCGCCTGCTCCGCGCTCCGGGCCTCCGCGCGGCCGGGGGCGGGGCCGGGACGCGCCTGCGCAGTCGCGTGGCCCGGCTTCCGGGCAGGGCGGGCGCGATGGGGCCGAGGGCCGGCGTCGCGGAGTAACGGCGTGTGGGCGCGGGGGCGCGGGGCTCGGGTCCCAGGGCGTTTGGGGGCGGCCGGAGGGCGCGGAGAGAGCCTAGGTTCGCCGCCCGCTGACGCCACCGGCCATGTCGGCCGAGGCCTCAGGCCCGGCGGCGGCCGAGTCCCCGGCCCTGGAAGCCCCTAAGCCCTCGGGTCTCGAGCCTGGCCCCGCCACCTACGGTCTCAGACCGCTGACCCCAAACAGCAAGTACGTGAAGCTGAACGTGGGCGGCTCGCTGCACTACACCACGCTGCGCACCCTCACGGGACAGGACACCCTGCTCAAGGCCATGTTCAGCGGCCGCGCGGAGGTGCTCACGGACGCCGGAGGTACGCCCCGACCTGTGCGGTCCTCCATCCTCCAGACCCAGCCTCTGTCTCCCAGTCTCCCGGCCCCCATGCCCTTCTCTCGTCTCACTGTGTCCTGTCACCCGCTTCTCACCTCCTCCAGCCCCCTTAGTCCCATTTCATCTTTCCTGTCTCATTCATAAGCTCCATCCTCCCCCAGTCTCTACTCAGAAAGAACCAGCATGTATGGATGGAGCACCCCCCCCTATCCCCCTGTTCTGCCAGGTGGTAAGTGATTTAACATGGCACCTCAGAAATTTCCTTACCACTCCCACCCGCTCTTCCTTTCTCCCAGCCTTTCAGTCCTCACTCAGCTCAAGAGAATCAACCTGGCTTCCAGGCAGCCTTCATCTGTGTCTTCCAACGGCCCAGCATTTTGTTCGTTTTCTCTACCTCACAACCACTAACAAGAGCCTGGAGGGTTGAAGGATTTTGTCTCTCTGTGTTGCCCTAACACAGATCCCTGGACACTCTAGGAATCCATCTGTAAATGCAGATTATAGAAGGAGAAGGCCACTTTGGATTTGCCAGGACACTAGTATGGAGGGTGGACGTCTCTCTTTGACAGGCAGACCGTAACCTTCTTGAAGTGTTGCATTCAGGTTTGGGCTCCTCACACCCAACTGGAAGCTTAAATAGGGCGGCGGGAGGAGCAAGAGGGCAGGATTCAGAGAGGGTTAACGAGGATTGTGAGTTCAGGAAAATAAATTTTGGCAAGTGAGGCTCAGTCTGCAAATATCTGAAGGTGACTAACTTATTGAGTAGGTATTTGTAAAGTGCCATTTAATGCTAGATACTTTAGTACAGGCATTTGACAAGATTCACTTTATGGAGTTTTTTCTGTGGGGAGGTGGAGAACAATAAACATACAAAAAACAAAATACATGTAATTGTAGAAAGTAATAATCCTTTGAAGAATATGAAGGTTGAGATGGTAGTGAACTGGAGGATGGGGAGGACATTTTAATTAAATGGGATGGCCAGAATTAATACCGGAAGTTAGAGGTTCATCAATAAGACTAATCTCTCTGCCTGGATATATTAAAAAGGGACCTATGGGATTTGTTTTAAAGGAATTTTCTCGAATGTAGTAGTAGATGTTTGAACGAGGTCCGTATTCAGACTTAATTGTAGCTTTGGAATCCATTTTTTCATAAACGTTTAATAACTCCAGGAACCCCAGCAAAGCCATCCTTCTTCCTGACTCTCCCCACCCCACCAGGCTGGGTGCTGATTGACCGGAGCGGCCGCCATTTTGGTACAATTCTCAACTACCTGCGGGACGGGTCTGTGCCACTGCCTGAGAGTACTAGAGAACTGGGAGAGCTACTGGGTGAAGCACACTACTACCTGGTACAGGGCCTGATTGAGGACTGCCAGCTGGCACTACAGGTGAGGGTCCCTCCCCATCTCTGAGTCACATGTCCCTGAGAGAGCTGCTCAAACAGTTAGATACAGGGACATTAAAAAAAAAAGGAAAAGAAAGAAGCCTGGAGAGACTGGCTCTGGCCTGCCCCTCAATTCTACAGAGAATTTAGGGATACTGTACTTGGCATTCCTGCTGCCTCAGGCTGGGACCTTCTGACCCCCTCATGCCAAGACCAATGCAGTGATTAAATGACCACTCTGCTTCTTGCTGTTTCAACCCAACCAATTATATATTACTATCTTGAAATAATTATCGTTAAACATAATCCCATTCTATTCTCTCCCTTACTCAGAAATCCTAAATAACTCTATTGGAAAAACCCCTAAATATAAATTGGAATATAATGGCCTCCATGATCACTTTCTATCCTGAGACTCAGTCCCCCAGGGTTTAAAAAAATTTTTTTTAAGCAATGATATGTCATGGAAGCAGTCACCAATAATACAGAGTTAGGGATTCTTTCCGTGAATTTCTTTGGGTTCTGGAAAACACAGTCAGGACACAATGGGTTAAGTGGTATGTGTACCACAGCTGACTGAGTGACCTTGAGTGAGTCAATTCCTACCTCTAGCATTTTGTTCTAAGGTTCCAAAAGATAGGGGAATGAGAAAAAGATGTACAATGTAGTGAGTTTTACATAAAGCCTTTTATTCTGTTAGGTTTTTACAATATTAGAATGTCCTTTTTATGATACAGTATTAGTAGAAGATTATGAATTTCTTTTTTGATGCCCTTTATACTAAAAGGGCAACTGTGGAAAACAACTTTCTGTTATCCTGAGGAATACTTATTGGGTCTTGAAATCCAAAAGTATAGAATTCCTTGGACAATAACCATATTTTTCAAACTTTTTGACTATATCCCTTAAAGGGAAAATGCATTTCATACTCATATATAACTAATATTAGAATTTTATAAAGTGATACTGTTAGTGAAATATACTTTGATATGTTGTTTTCTTTTTAATGCTGTTTGGGACCAGTTAAACTTAATGACTCATTATAGGGTTACCACTAAAAGTTTGAAAAACATTGAACTAAATCATCTTGGAAATGGTTTCTTATTCAATGGTTTTGTATTTACTCAATGTAACCTCACACCTCACTCTGTGCCAGGAGCAATTCTGTTGCTTGTACCACTGTTTGACAGCAAAATAAATGTGAGGGAAATGGGGATGCTCCAAGGCCAAAGAGCCAGTAAGCAGCAGAGCTCAGATTCAACCCCACTTTGTCTGACTCCCAAGCGTAGTGTTTTGTCTTCCTGTGCCCCAACTGCCTCCTTTCCAGGTTTCCCTCAGACCATTTAATCCCCCCCACTATCAGCTAGAGTTTGCGTGTTTGTTTGGAGGGTTTTGTTTTTAAGATTTAGGTGTGGAGAGTGGAGTTCACTGTACGTCCCAGTGTGTAGTACTTCATCACCACTGGTCTGTGCACATCTTTTTTTCTCCTTCATTCCCAATCCCCTGCCCACCTCCTTTTCCCCATAGGAAGCCTTTCAGTTCAATGTTCTTATTTTTGTTTTCCGATTCTAATGTTTGGATACAAATGCTTGGATTATATTTGTACCCTTTAAAAGCTAAAGCATTGTCTTATATGCAAATTTAAAACTTCTATAAATGGCATTGAGCTTTGGATTATGTGTTCTGTTTCTTAATTCAACATTTTTTTTTCCAAGATCTATTTCATGCTGCTATGTGTACATGTAGTTCTTTGCCTCTGACTACCGCACAGGCGCGTATGGCATGCATTCACCATATTATATTATACATATCCCTCCCACTTCTGTCTCCCCCATGAGCACCCTTGTGCATCTGCAAGCCTTGTAGGTGGGTCCTGGCCCGGGGTTTTCCGGTGAGGTAGCTGGGAGTGGAACTGCGGGTCACAGGACATACATACAAACAAATTTGAGCAAGAATATGCTTCTGAGGGGCTGCGGCGCTTTATACTTTGATCAGTAGTGCATAAAGATTCTGTTTTCTGTATATTCTCAACAACACATGGCATCATCCAGCATTTTAATTTTGCTAGTGTGATTGGCATAGAGTGGTCGCATCTTAATTTGTACACCTCTGAGACTGAGTATCTTTTCATATGCTCGCTAGCTTTTTTGTTTCCCCTCTTCTGCAAATTGCCTGTTCATATTCTTTATCAATTTTTTGCTGTTTCCTGTCTTGTTGCTTTGCAGGAGAGCCATGTGTAGTTTCCTTCCTAAGGAGAACTAAGCCCTAAGGCATGTATTGTACACAATAAATTAACTTTTCTCCTGTGCATCTAGAATGGTACTGTTTACTAACCATTCTCGGGACAATTGAGAAAATAGCCACTAAAATTATTTGCTGGGTTTTGAATTTTAGATGAGAAATCTCAATTGAAAAAATCTGTTTAAGATAATTTCTAGTCAGTATTAGCTATCAGTAATTAGCTATTAGTAATTTCTCTTAGAATGTCATCTGTCTGTGGCAACTGTTGTTGAATAGAGTTCCTTGATTTTTTTATTACAAGTAGCCATTTATTATTTTTAAAGCAGTACATATGTGTTGTAAAAATTTAGAGAACACAGGTAATCAAAAAAATTAAAGCACCAAATATCCTTCCAGGTCTTTCGTGTGTGTGTGTGTGTGTGTGTGTGTGTGTGTAGACCACAGTATGATCATGCTGTATGTGCTGGCTTGTTTGTTTCTTTTTTTTTTTTTTTTACTTTTTTTTTTTAAATAGAGGCATGTTTTTTATTTATTTATTTATTTGTTTGTTCGTTTGTTTTTGTTTATACATGCACTGGGTACAGTCAGAAGCGCGGGAGGGTGAGAGAATTCACCAGAGCCAGAGCGGGGAGCAGAGCAGGCAGAAGGACCGAAGTACACTGCTGAGGAGAGCAGCGGGCGGCAGAAGAGGTCTGCGCGCCATGTGGGACCCTCCTCTGGTGGCCAGGGAGCAGTCGGGGATCGAACCGGTGCTGCAGAGGCTGCGGGCAGCTTCGCAACCCAGCGCTTAACCGCTGCGCCACCGGGGAGGCCCAGCCTGTTTGTTTCTTAATACTTGCCATTTTTCCCCGTCAATTTATCTAATATCCAGTGCATACACAGGTTTCTCCATTTGTTCCAGAAATGTCTCTTAGAAAAGGTTCATCTAAATGAGACACCAATGTAGATCTTTGCACTATATTTGGTTAGTATGTTCTTTAAGTTTCTTTCAAACCAAAAACACCTCTTTTCCTCCTGGTGATGACTTATTGAAGAGATCAATTGCACATGGCTTTGCCCAATGGCCCATTTTCCAAATTTGCCCTTTGTTCACTTATGGTATCATTTATTTATTTTTTTTTTTTTTTTTTTTTATAAAGGCATGTTTTTATTTAATTGTTTTGTTTATACATGCACTGGGTACAGTCAGAAGTGCTGAGAGAATGTCTGCACGCCATGTGGGACCCTCCTCCGGTGGCCGGGGAGCAGCCGGGGATCGAACCGGCGCCACAGAGGCTAGCTTCGCAACCCAGCGCTCACTGCTGCGCCACTGGGGAGGCCCCCCTATGGTATCATTTAATTGTTACCCTACCCTATCCTAAGTTTTATCAACTAGACAGTAGAGTTAAAGGCTTGATATTAAAATGTTTGAGTTAGACGGGCCTCTCTGGTGGGGCAAGGCGTGAAGTGTCAGCACTATCAAGCTACCACCAGCCACTGCAACATGAGTTAGATTCCCAGCCAGGGAACTGACCCACAGATCTCTTCTATCTCGCCGGCTGCTCCCCTCAGCAGTGTATTTCAGTAGAGCCGCTTGTTCTGCTCCCTACTCTGTTTCTGGTGAATCGTCTCACCCCCCTACACCTCTGGCCTACACCCCAGTTCTTGTATGCATAAATAAATAAAAAAAATCTTTAAAAATAAAATGTTTCAGTCAGAATATATTCTAGGTAATGTTAGAAATTTCATATTGTGTTATATCGAGAGACCATAATATTGCAGATACAACCCATTATTTAGTGATGCTTAAAATGACCCCTAGATTCAGGGTTTTTGATTTTTCCATTGTAGTTACATTTCCTTGTTGCCAACTATAAAGTAATCTGTGTAATGTTTCTTAGGCCCTGTGTCTGAATGGCAAGTTATATATCAATCACATGCCTTTTGGCAATCCTTGCCTTAATTAATTATATTATATGTCTGTTTTTAGCTGGGGAAAGTCTTGATGTTAATGTAATCAAATTCCTTTTTTTGGCCTAACATTATAACCTTTTAGGGTTTTGTTTAAAGAGTTTTTCCTGTTTTACATTTTTTATTAGCATTATAATTTTATCTTTTATATATGGAGTTTTTAATCTAAATGAAATTCACTTTTGTAAATATGAATTAAGGATTTAGCGCTTTTTTTTTGTCTTCCATAGAGTGAGCTAGGTACCAGCATCCAAGATGGCCACCAACAATTTTTGCTTCTTACTTATATAGGCTCTTGTTTAGTCCCCTTCCATACTGAAAAGGGCTGACCTATATAACCAATAGGATATTGGCCTCCCTGAAGGCACAGGGATTGAAGTCTCAGCACTATCAAGCTATTGCCAACCACTGCAGCATGAGTTCAGTCCCTGGCCAGGGAACTAACCCTATGGCATAGCAGACCTCTCCTGTCTTGCCTGCTGCTTCCCTCTGCAGTATATTTCTGTAGATCTGCCTGTTCTGCTCCCCACTGTCTCTGGTGAATTGTCTCACCCCCGCACCTCTGACCTACACCCCAGTTCTTGTATGCACAAATAAATAAATATATATCTTTAAAATATAACCAATAGGATACTGCAGAAATGATCGTGTGTGATTTCTAAAGCCAAGTCATAAAAAAAGTAGGCGGTTTCTGCTTCTCTGTTGGATCACTCACTCTGGGGGTAGCCAACTGCCATTTGAGGATACTCAGACAACCTCTAGGAAGAGTCTTCTTGGTAAGGAACTAAAGCCTCCTGCCACCAGCCAGCACAAACTCCCAGCCATGTGTGTACTTTCTCAAAAGCAGTTCCTCAAACTAAACCCAATCAGGTCTACAAGTAATAACAGCTCTGGCCAACATTTGACTTTCAACTTCATGAGAGAAGCTGGGTGCTGGGCCAGGATCAAGCAGCTAAGCCAATCTCAAGTTCCTAACCCACAGAAACTGTATGAGATAATAAATATTTATTGTTGTTTTAAGCTACTTTGTAGTGCTTTGTTCCCCAAAATTATCTAGAATGGGGTTCTGCCATAACAAAAACCTACAATGTGGGAGTGGCTTTAAAACTGGGAAGTGGACAAGAGCTGGAAAGACTTTGAAGAGCGTGTTAATCAGAGCCAAAAGAGCTTTAAAAAGTCTGCTTATAGAATTCTTTTGAGTAGACTGTGGCAAGGAAAATATTACTAGAAACTGGTAGAGAGGGGATACTTGATATGTAGTGGTAGAAGTTTAGCACAGTAGAAAATAGAAAATGTACCTACTGAAGTGGGTGGCCTAGAGATTTCCAGATAGAATGTTGAAGGTGCCACCAGGTTTCTTGTCTATAGTAGAATAAAGAGGAGAGGTATGCTAAGGGGGAAAAAGTGGAATAAAAAGCCAGTAATTACTGGGTTTGAAAATTTCCAGCTTTCTAGATAATGAATGATGTTAGAATTAACAAAATGGCTTTCAGATAGATTAAGACCTCGGAAATATCTAAGAAGATGCCTCAGAGAGTCATTCAGTCAATAATAGCAGCCTAAGAAGCTGAAGGATTTTGTCCTGCAGCAGTGTCAGCACAAGCCTAAAGTAAGAGAGCCTATCTCATAGGTGTGTGGGTTTGGCTTGTGTCTAATGAACTGATTCACAAGACACATTATGATTTTAAGAGACATACTGGCAGAAATACTGCTAGCTTGGACTGAAAGGGACAGAGACAGTACAAGAAGAGAAGAGGCCTTTGTTTCCCCAGAGTTCTATAGGCCAGAAGATGACTAAGGAAACACAAGCCACAAGCACAGACTGTCTCTTATGGAAGAAGAAATATGACTCAGGACAAAATCAAGAGCCATAGACAATCATTCCTGGACAAGAGTAAGCATCAGAGTGTCCAACATTGGCCAACGGAAGTGTGGAATTTCTATGAAGACATGACTTCTGTCTGCCTCCTGTCCTCCCATCTTTCCCTGTTTTGAGTAAGAGTGCCTAGTGGTTATCCTAATGCTTGTTCCACCACTGCATATTAAGTGAATGGAAGAGATAACATATCTCTTTAGTTCACAGGTCTTCAGATCAAGATGAAATGTACTTAACTATAGTTAAGGAACTGCACCCCAAAGTGCCTCATGACCGGGACCTGATTTAGATGACAAAATTCTATACTTCAAGCTGATGCCGTAATGGGATGAGGCTTTGGGGGAGGGGTGAGTGTGTTTTGCATGTGGGAAGGATTTGAATCAGTGGGGGCCAGAAAGTGAACTCTGGAGCTCAGCCTCCAAGGCAGTTCCCAATGATTCTTGTCTTTTGGTATTCATTCTCTTTTCTAGTTTCCTCCTGCACTCAATAGGGCTGACAAATCTAGGTCTTAAAAGACTGAGAGGCCTCTACCTATGACAGGGAGCAAGTTTCTTATCAGTGGCCAGGGTGCACTTGACTGGCGTATGAACAAGCTTCCTCAGAAACAAATCCTCCAGACTCAGTCATGCCTTCAGATTACTGCAGCCCAGCTCACTTGACTACAACTTCATGAGAAACTCCATGCCAAAACCATCCACCTCAGCCATTCCTGAATCTCTGACCCACAGAAACTGATAATGTGTTTGTTGTTGATTTAAACTGCTGCTAAGTTTTGGGACAATTTATTGTCCCAAAGCAATAACCAGTTTATATGCCATGCTTTCCCTACTGATTTGTGGTGTCCTCTATAAATATGAATTCTCACACATAACACCAGTCTGTTTCCCAGTGTCTAGTGTGTTCTTTTGTGTTCCTTTGTTTTTGTTTGTTTGTTTCTACAACAAACTGCACTGTTTTCTTTACTATGGTTGGTAGGATGTCTTAATCTCTGGTACGTCACTTTTCTTGATTCTTGAAAAACTAACCCAAATAATAGACCTTTATTCTTCCATAATAATTTTAGAAAAAGTTTATGAGTTTAAAAATACCTCTTTGGTGTTTCTGGGTGAGAAAAGTGAGAGGGGTTTTAGCATAAAGATTCTAAAAGACAAAAGAGGTAAGAAACTTGTGTCTGGTTTCTGCCTCCAACCTCATCCCACTCCAGTAGGTTCATTTATCCAGCAGATACTTACTGAGCCTCTGCTGTATGCTCTGCACTGACTGTACAGACCATAAACGTGGGAAAGTAAAACAATCGAACTGACAATGTGAAAAGGAGGAAGTAGAGGAGGCTGCTTTAGCCAGGGAACTTAGGAGAACCGGCACCTCAGAGCTGGCATGTTTGAGAATTCAATCTGAAGTGGCAGCCACCTAAACAAATAGAGTGTAGACCATTTCCAGGAGGTGGGAGCTTTAAAGGGCCGGCAAGCACAGGCTGGGTGTATGCAGAGGAGAGTAGGGCTGGGTGTGAGAGACATGATTGGAGTTTGCATCCTGCAGATCCTATGGGCCACTCAGGAGCTTGGATTGATTCCCAAAGGCAATATGCAGCTTTTGAAGGCTTTTAAGTGGGGGGAATGAGTGACCTTTGGTTGTGCTGTTAACCACCTTCCACTTCTTCTCCAGCAAAAAAGGGAGAACCTGTCCCCGCTGTGCCTCATCCCCACGGTGACATCTCCCCGGGAGGAGCAGCAGCTCCTGGCCAGCACCTCCAAGGTGAGGCCCCTGAACCCCATAGGGTGGATGCGGGGGGCCTCTCCCTGCAGCCTGACCCCCCGTCCTCCATCCTCTCTCCCCTGACAGCCCGTGGTGAAGCTCCTGCACAACCGCAGTAACAACAAGTACTCCTACACCAGGTGACCACCGTGGGGTGGGAGGTGACCTGGGTGGAATCCTGGGCTCAAACACAGCCCGCTCCTGGCCCAAAGGGAGAATGTTGGCCACAGAGGAAGGAAAAGAAAGCCTGCCTGGGTGCAGTTCCAATTCTGCCACTTCCCCACGGGGTACTTGGGACAGGTTATTTTTACTTCTGAGCTTCCGTTTTATCATCAGCAAAACTGGGTTCTGGTGAGGATTAGATGATAATGTCTGGCGTTTACTAAGTGCTCATTTTGTAGCTGGCATTCCTCTAAGTGCTTTACATATATTAACTCACATTCTCACACTTGTTTGAGACATGTACTATTGTGATCTCCATTTTACTGATGAAATTGAGGCATCAGGAGGTGAATTGACTGTTGAAAAGTGGTGGAGCTAGGATGGCATATCAGGCAGCCTGGTTCCAGAGCCTGTGGTAGTAGCCATTCTGCTGTGCTGGGGTTTGCTCAGCAAATGCTGCTTCCTTTCTGAGGCCTGCTTGACCTGGGCCACGGGTGGAGGAAACTCACTGCTGGGCACCAAACTCCTCCTAGGCAGGACCAGAGTGATAGATGCTGGGCCTCGGTGCTGAGAGGAACAAAGGGAGGGAAGCCAGTGGTGCTAAGGACTCCTGGCACTCTGGTCTTCAGCACTTCAGATGACAACCTGCTTAAGAACATCGAGCTGTTTGACAAACTGGCCCTGCGCTTCCACGGGCGGCTGCTTTTCCTCAAGGATGTACTGGGGGACGAGATCTGCTGCTGGTCTTTCTACGGGCAGGGCCGCAAAATCGCCGAGGTGTGCTGCACCTCCATTGTCTATGCTACGGAGAAGAAGCAGACCAAGGTCAGAAGGGGTTCAGGGCCTGATCAGGGAGGGGTGTGGTGGTGAGTAGGACCAGGGCCCTTGACAAAGACAGTTCAGCAGGTCTGGCTGGGGGGAGTTACCACTGGGAGTCAGGAGTCAGAGTTTTAAGTTTTGGGAGCTTAGCTATGTAACCTTGAACAAACTGCCTTCTGTGGGTCTCTTTTTGTCTACTATGAAGTGAGGGTGTTGGGATATAGCAGGATTCTTAATCTGGGTCGGTCGGCTGGGTTTCAAGACTGTAGTCCGGTGAACTATTATGGAGGTTTAGGAGTATGTTTGCATTTTTCCATATAGAAGAACCATAGTTGTCATTAGATTCTCAGAAGACTTCATGACCCCAGTTTCTTCACACCTCAGGCTCTTAGAACACACAAGTCTCTTAGAATTCTGAGTTTAATTCGCTAACATGGCGATCATCAGCACATACTCCTGAGCTCCTGCTCTATGTTAAGCACTGTGCCGGGCTTGAAATCATGGTGAATGAAATGCTGAGTGAATTATAAGCCCTCTGCCATGTCATCTAGCCCCTTATCAGCCAGGGATTGTGCCTCATATCCACCAGAGATACATCTCGCAAATCTCTTAAGTATCCAATGTTATTTTACACCTCTCTACTCTGTACACACTATACCTTCTTCATGTAGTTACTTTTCCTCACCCTTGTCTGCCTAATGAACTTAATCTTTTAAGACCCAGGCTGAGCATCATTTTCTAGGGGACACCTTCACTCATGAACTTTAAACTTAACCCCAAAGTTAGTCACACTCCCGTAGCTAGACACAATGTTTATTGTATTCTTCCAGGGAAGGAACTAGCAGGGGTCTTACTTCAGCAGCAAGGTGTTAGCTTGTTGAGGGAAGGGCTGTTGTCTGTTTTCTCCTGTCTCTAGCACTAGACAGACCCTTACCACACAGTGGACGTTATGAAACACTGATTGACTGAACAGACCAACTTCTAGGAAGCTTCCTTTGTTATTGGGAAAAACAGGAAGATAAACCAATGAAATATCATGAACTTTGTTATCCCTCCAAGCTACAGAAGGGAAACCCCCAGTCATTTCTTGTTTCACCCCTCCTCCCTCTTCATCACACTGCCTGGATGCATTGGCTTTCTTGCTGCTGATCTTCAAGTAACACACTAAGTGGACTCCTGCCAGGCCTCTTGCACTTAACTGTTGCCTCTTCCCACGCTGCTCTTTCTCTGGTGATCCACCTGGCTCCTTTGGCTTTTGGTTGAATGTCACCATTTCAGTGGGGCCTCCTTTGAACTCCTTCTTTAGAGCTGTCATGTTCCTGGCATGGCCTTCCCTATTCCGTTTTCCTATAATATTTTTTCTATAACATTTATCATCGTTGGACAGTTTATAGTTTATTAAATGTATGCCTCTGCTCTCCCCCTAGAATGTAAACTTCCTGTGGGCAGGAACTGTTCACTGATTCATCTCTCTAATGCCTAGAACAGCATGGAGTGCAGTGACTCCATAAATATTTGCCAAATGAAAGAATATACCAAGAGACTTGACAGAAAATGAGAGAAAGCGAATAGCTCTACCTGACTTCAAAGCTGTGTCTTAAAGTGTAACCTTGCTGAGTAAAGGAGTTGCAGGGAGACAGTCTAGGCCAAAGGACCTGTGATTGCAAAGACTAGAACATGTGCCGGTGCAAGAACAGAGGAGGGTGCGGGGAGGAAGGGATTGGACCAGAGGTTAGGAGCTGGGGGTTGCTGGCCTTTTGCAGGTGGAATTCCCAGAAGCTCGGATCTTTGAAGAGACCCTGAATATCCTGATCTACGAGACTCCCCGGGGACCAGACCCAGCCCTCCTGGAGGCCACAGGGGGTGCAGCTGGAGGTGGTGGGACAGGTCGAGGGGAGGATGAGGAGAACCGGGAACACCGTGTCCGCAGGATCCACGTCCGGCGCCACATCACCCATGATGAGCGTCCTCATGGCCAACAAATTGTTTTCAAGGACTGACTTGTTCTTTCTCCTGCCATGGGACCAGTTTTCTTCCTGCCAGGGGACCAGGTCCCCCTCTCTTCCTCCCCTTACCAGCCCTTTGCCCCGGCTTTGCTGGCCAAGTCGTGGGTCTGCCTCTGTCCCCTCACTGCATGGTACAGTTCACTTTGGCCCTTTTCCATCCACCCCCACCTCAATGCTAACAAAACGGTACACTCCACTCCCCCTCACAGCCCTTCAGAAGGCCTGCATTCCTTCTCATTCCCAGACTTGCCCTGCTGCCTTCCCTCACCAGCTGATTTAGAGTAATTTAGAACTCCTTTTCTCTTTTTTTAGTACATTGTACATGCCAAAGTGTCAAGCCAGCCCTTATTAACACCCACGACATTCTGAGCCACCTCCCAACCATTGTACAGAGTAGTTTGCTTCTCTCCTTCCCCCGCCATTCTCCCTACCTCTTTAACTTTGTATTAGTCTGGCCTGGACCTGCACCAGCCCAGCTATCTTCTTGGTCTGTTTCATATTATTTATTATTTTAATTTTCTATTAAATTATTGGAATAAAGTTGAGTTGAGGTTTTGGTGCTGGTTCCTGGGGAGAGGGCCAGGAAGATGGCTTGTGTTAGGAGTGAGACTAGTTGGAGGGGAGAAATCATGAGCCCGGCTCCCAAACATTTCACCAGGAAGAAAGTAGTCAGGAGTTAGGAGAGGATTTAAAATTTATATTTCGGTGCTCACTGGGCAGTTCCCACCCTCTGTCCCACCCCTCCCCATGCGATGGAGAAGAGGTCCTGGCTAGCACTCAAGCCATCCCTGGTGCAGCCTCTCTCCAGCCCAGACATCTGAAGAGGACGCCTTCCTTCAAGGGTCTGGTGCGAAGACAAAGTCGAGGGCCTGGCGCTCAGCCCCAGCCACATTGGGATGCCAGAGGTCCACAATGAAGACTACTCGAGGCCCATCTTCAGGGGCACCTAGGGCACATGAGGATGGAGACAGGAGAGCAGCTGAGAGCACTCACCAAACACTCAGACAAGCACTCAAGTAAGTGCCAGGCACTGCTCTGACCTCTTAAATGTATTAATTTTTAATCATCAAAAAACAATGAGGTCCTATCAGAATCCCACTTTATACATAGTAACTGAGGCACAAAGAGGTTAAATAACTTGTCCAGAGCCACACAGCTAGTAAGTACCAGAGACTGGGCAGGTGGCACCTGCCCAGGGTCTTTGCCATGCACTTACATTAACTTAATCCTTGCAGTTGCCAGGTAACAAAGTTGCCCCTTTTCACTGGTGATTGGAGAGGTCATGTGACTTACCCCAGGTCATGCACTGGGAAATGATGGTGCTAGGGAGGAAACCATTCTGCAGCTCTAATCTATTCCCCTTCTCTCCTTAGTTCCTCATCCCTCTTAGCAGAATAGCATCCCCATTACCATTATGAGCCACTGTGTGCAGGAAGGAGTCATCCACCAGTAGACAGTGTCCTTCAGCCCAGCACTGGGGCTCGCCCCCGACCACCAGCTCACAGCCAGGGGGGATCTTCAATCCTGTGGAGAGAGACCCAGACATCCAACATTTCTGCCTTTGTTGTGGGGACTCACCCCTTTCAGTCAATAAACGGATCTGAGGGTCTTAAACAACAGGTGGTGTGATGTTATGTCCTTACTTTCTGGAAGGTAACCTAAGTGGAATTCTACAGTATTAGATGAAAGAAGTGCTAGGAGATAGGCAAGATTCACAGTCTATTCTGTTTCAGAGAAAAGGGAAGGTTTCTTGGAGGAAGTAGCATCTCCTGGGCCTTTGACAATGCCACCCAAAAACCTACAGTATGTTAGGTCCCTTTCTCTACATGACGTATGAAACTATTGACTCCGTTCTGGCCCAGAGACCGCACAGTTGAGCAGCCAATTCCAATGATGGTAAATAGAAGACATCCCAGAGGAGGTGTGGCACTTGAACATTTGAGTCCCGAGGCTAAGTTGGAGTTTTCCAGAAGGTGATAATGGGGAGAGACATTCTAGGTTAAGAGTAAATGTGTGTGTGTGTGTGTGTGTGTGTGTGTGTGTGTGTGTGTGTGTGTGTGTGTGTGTGTGTGTGTGTGTGTGTGTGTGTGTGTGTGTGTGTGTGTGGTTTGCCAGGACCAGCCAGAAGGCCTTTGTGATTTTTTAATTTTGTGGGGCCTTCATGATTTATATAGAGCAAGGTGGGAGGGGAGGGGAAGGAGCGACAAGGGGGGAGACAAAGAGACAAAAGATCTGGCCTTGATGCAGAGGCCTGTACGCTCCCAAGTAGAGAACAGGTCCAGTTAGTAGCACAGGAGATGACTATAAGCAAAACAAGGTCGTGGCATTGAATAACAATCATGAAATTGTTTCTTTTCCATTTTCTTTCAATCTTTAAAACATCAAAAAGAAAATCTCAGCTAGGTGCTACCAGATATTTAACACCCCTTCTAAATGAAGAAGAATATAGGCTTCAATCTCAGACTAGAGGATTTGGCTAGAATTTTTAAAGTTTTTTTTTAAGTTTAAATTTGTATTTATGAGCACTTTATTGAGGGCATAGAATACTGATTATCATTGTACCTGGTGTTTAAGACCCTCAGGTCGGCTGAGAATTCCTTTTCAACAAAACATAGAACATGGGGGGAGGCAACAAGAAGACACAGTGCAGGTGGCAGATGACCATGCATAACTTAGGAAGATGGTTTGCAGGTAAGTGAAGCTCAGGAGATAATGTTCCAGGCAGCAGGGAGTGGTGGGAGAGTTCAGAGAAGAGCATGATCAGAACCACAGTGTCGAAAAACCTGGTACAGACAGATCTGGAGATAAGGAGGTGGTTTGTAGGCAGCGTCTACTTACCCAGATGGCATCTGACCCTGGCATTGGTGGGCCCACAGCGGCCCTCAAGCCGGGCACCAGGCAGGAGAACGGAAAAGCCAGCATTGCCAAAGGTGTTGGCGCTCATAAAGCTCCGCAGCCCCCTCAGTGCCCGATAGGCCCCTGGGCACCGGCGGCAGTTGCTGGGTTGGCACCGGCCTGCTTGGTATAGCAGGAGCTGGTAGCACCCAGGGGCCAGGGGTGGGGACCAGCCCCGAGGCAGAGGGGTAGTCCCTGAGAAGTCCCAGTTCACAGCTCCAAAGTCCCGCAAAATGGCAGGGAAGCTGCTCTCCAAGAGTTCCACATCATGCCGCTGGGCATCCCGTGGCACAAAGGGAGCCGAGGGCAGGTCTGGCAGGAAAAGCAGGCCTGGACGCTGAATGCCCAGGATGCCTGGCCCTCCCCCAGGGCCTGGGCCACCCTGAGCTGCCCGCCTCACCCTACCCATCCCTGCCCAGGAGTAGCGCCTGGCATAGGCCCGAAGGCGACGACTCACTAGGCCTTCTGCCCTTGGTCCTTCCCCAGGCTCCCCTGAACTCCCTGAGCTTGGCCCAAGAGGCTCAGAGCATCCCCCAGTCCCACCGACACCCCCAACCCGGCTCCCATCCCCCAGAGCCTGCATGTCTTGGGATCCCAGGCGGTAGCAGTACCAGAGGAAGAGGGAAGTAAGGGCTCCAAGGAGCAGGGTAAGGGCAGAGGAGGCTAGGGGCAATGGCCATGCGGGCATGATGGGCAGGGAGGCTCTGGCCAAGAGGCCTGGTGCATCTTCCAGTCCCCAACTCCCCTGTCCCCCTAATTCTCCGCCCCTTCCTTCCATGGCGGCCTCCCCCAGGCTGTCTCCCTGCCACATGCTCACTCTGGGCTCTCCTTCTGCGGTCTTCCCTGCACTTGGTATTTCTCTCTTCCCTCAGGTGCCTCCAGCCCTCCTGCCCCTTTCTCTCCTTCTCCTTCCTTCCCTCTCTCCAACCTCTTCTTTCTCCTTTCAACTCTCCTCTTCCTTTTTTACCCTCCTCCCCCTCTCTCTCTCCAGCAGCTTCCTCTCCCCCCCAGTGCCTCTCCCTTTCCCCACCTTCTGCGTCCCCTGCCCTTTCTCCTCCTCCACCCCCGCCCCTCTGAGCTTTCTCTTCCCCTCCCCCACCTCCCTGGCTTCCCCGGACCGCAGCTCCTACCCCACTTGGACCCGCAGCCGCGAACCTCGCAGTCAGCCGTGCACCGCGGCGGCCTCTCCCGGCCCCTCTCCCCTGCCCTCGCTCCTCACTCGACCCGACCCGCGGGTCCTGCCTGCCGCCGGCCTCCCTCTCTCCCTCTCTCCCCCACGCTCGCTCTTTCCTTGGCTCCCACTCACCCTGACGTCACCCCTCCCCACTGTCCTCTGGCCTAGCTCCCCCTGCCCCCCCTCAGTGCAGCGCAACTCCGGGGAGGGGAAGGTGGGGGGGGGAGTCTTCGGATTTGCCGCCCACCTGGCCGCACGGGGCGCCACGTGGGGCTCAGAGGGCACCGTGCCAACCTCCAGCCACCCCGCAATGCGAAAAGAAGGGGCGGGGCCGGAGGCAGGGCGGGCAGACCAGGGGGCGGAGCGAGGGCGAGGACCGGCGGACAAGGCCCTCGCAGGCTGCGGGCAGGGGTGCCACAGCCGGCCCGTCGCTGCCGCTCCCGGCGAGCCTGTGGCTCGCTCTCCCCTCGCCGTCGCGGGGGTCAGCCCGGCGGGCAGTGGCGGCCGCTCCCGCCAACCCCGCGCGGCGCAGCCGGGCCCGTGCGGGCGGGGCCGGGAGCGCTGTCCGCCGCCGGTGGTGCTGAAAAGGGAGTTGCGGAGGTTGTGCGAGGCGAGGGGGCGGGAATCCAAGTTGTGGCCTCCAGGCAGCCGGCCGGGGTCATGTTGTGTGTAAGAGGAGGGTCTCCCCTCCCTAGATCCCAAGCCCTCACCCCCTTATACTTCTCACAAACGTGAAAACTTGCCATTCTCCTGGAAGAGGGGAAAGTCCATTCCACAGGAGCGTCCGTGAAAGGGAAAGGGAAGTCCCATAGGGGGCCTGGGTGTGGGAAGGGGGCACATTGGGGGGTGTGAGCAAGCGCAATCCCAGTTGTCCCGCCTCTCAGCACCCTGGGAAGAGGAGATTTAGATTCCAGATGTGCTGGAATGGCGGGTGTGTGTGTGAGTGTGTGTGTGTGTGTGTGTGTGTACCGACTAATTACTGCTGGGACCGGAGAGTTTCCTTTGCTTCCCCTAGGGGCCGCGGGAGTGAAGATTACGGTCCTGGCTCATGTGGTCCCTCCTTCCTCCATCTGCACTTCCTCCTCCCGCTCCCCCCACCCCCAAATAAATCGCAGGCCCCTCCCTTCGCCCGTCCCCAGGATCTGACGTGGACTCGACACCTTTCTCAGTTTCTCCCTCCTGCAGCTCCAGTACCCGAGCTTTGGCTCTCCAGGTTCTGCAACCCCCTCCCCTCCTGGCAGGACTGGCTAGAGTCTAGTAGGGATCATTCCGATCGATCCTGCACCCACCCCAGACCCCCTGAAGCTGTTTTGCCTCTCTCCTCTCCCCCAGCTTGGGATCCAGAAGCCTGGTGGACCAAGGTGCCGGAGTAAGAGGGTAAAGCAGGCTACCCGGCCCCTTCGGCCCTCTCGGCCCCACCCCCTGCAGCCGGAGCCGCGCCCCCTCTCCCACAGATCCGGAGCAGAGGACAGAGGAGATTGGGCAACGAAGGGTGGGCTCCCCGGCGACTCCCAGTACAATTCTGCTCTTCCATCTCAAGGGGCAGAGAAATTGTCTTCTTTGCTAACTGCTAGCAAGAAAAAAAAATTTAAAGGAGAGATAAAAAGACGGAAGAAAGGTGACAGCTTGATTATCTAAGAGAGGCGCAGAGGAGAGAAATCAGTGTGAGTCGCCATGGGGACTCCCAGGGCCCAGCACCCGCCGCCTCCCCAGCTGCTGTTCCTGATTCTGCTGAGCTGTCCCTGGATTCAGGGTAAGGACATGGGAATGTGGGGGGAGGGGGCAAGAAGGCCCCCAGAGGGATCCTAAACCCTCCTTTCTCCTAACATCCTGGGCCTTTGGCGCTCCTGGGGGAAGGGAGGAGCACAACTGGCAGGGCAGAGGCTTTCTGGTTTGCACCTAGGGCCCCTAACCCCCAATACTGAGGAGGTGGGGGAAATGAATGAGGGCAACTCTTTGCAGTGTTTCAGGGGTTAAATCCAGGAAGGAGGGCTGGGGAAGTTGGGGGGGCTGTCTGCGGAGGCGGCAGGAGCATGCAGGGCACCTGGTTGGGAGATGGAGGTGCTGGGAGAGATGCCAGGCACAGCACACACTAGTGTGCTTGGACGTATGGACAAAGACAGATGAACAGAGGCAGTGCTCAGGCACCAAGTACTCGGCCCCCATTCTTACCCCCAACTAGACTCCAGGGAAGGGGGCAGAGACTACAGAGGAGAGGGGGAGGAGAAGGGGAGAGAGAGAGAGAAAGAAAGAGCGAGGAAAAAGAGAGAGAGAGAGAGAGAGAGAGAGAGAGAGAGAGAGAGAGAGAGAGAGAGAATACCACACTGCAGGGACAGAAACCCGGAGAGAAAGCTGGGCACTGCGGAAGCAAGGGCTGGGAGATGCTGCCAGACCCTTCACAGAGTCCCAGGGATGTGGAGGGAACAGACTGGGGTGAAAATAAAGGCAGCACCATTACCCCTTCTCTGCCCTACTAACGCTGTCCAGGGTTCCTACGAGCCAAGGTGCTCACTGAAGGCCCACATAGCCTGGGGGGTAAGGGGGAGGAAGGTGTGGGAGTGTGAGGGACATCTCTGTGTCTCCTTTCAATTTTGGCTCCCAGCCCAGCCTGGACCCTCTGAGCCCTTGCCAGCCCACCTGACACAAGCAGGAGGAAGAGCTCCGGAAAACACCTTTCTGGAGAAGGAAGGAGTGTGGGGCAGTAGGAGGGCTCACACAACTTCATCTCCTAGGTCTGCCCCTGAAGGAGGAGGAGGCACTGCTGGAGCCTGGAAGCGAGACCCCTACAATGGCCTCTGAGGCCTTGGCTGAGCTGCTCCATGGGGCCCTGCTGAGGAGGGGCCCAGAGATGGGCCACCTGCCTGGTGAGGCCCCCAGAATGGCAGGGATCATGCAGAGGCAGAGGGAGGACATTAACTCACGGAAATGCGGGAGTCAGACCAGTTAAAGTCAGAGTGAGACAGAGAGAGTCAAAAGTGGGCATAGCTGAAGGACCCGAGAAGCCGAGACAGAACGATGAAGAGACAGCGTCAGACAGAAAAACGGACACACGAAGAAAAAGATGAAAGGAAGCCCAGAGACCCAGAATCAGAGAGACAGTGGGAGCAAGACGTGGAGAAAGAGTGAGGGAGCGGGTAGAGACCAGCCAGTCCAGAACCATAAAACCAGAGCCTGATAATAGCAAATAAAGGGCTCAGAAAGAGCAAGACCAAGGCCAGAGCAGGGGGTAGCCAGCAGAGGGCACCAGATCTGAATGGGGAGGCAGAGACCGAAGCTCAGCAGGACTGTCAGGGTGGAGGGGCCCAGGCAGAGATGGAAAGGGTGGGGGTAATCAGACAAGGTGGGGGGCTAGGCTGTAGAAGCCTTGCAAGGAGGTGGGGAGTTTGGGTGGGGGATCGGTGGGGGACCTGTACCTTGTGGGGGAGGCCTTTGGGGTTCATGGGGTTCAGCCCTGCTCCCCACGCAAGGCAAGCCAATTTGCTCCTCCTGTGCCCTGACTTCCCTTGCACTGTCTCAGGATCTGATCCAGACCCCACACTAGCCACCCCTCCAGCCGGCCAGACTCTTGCAGCGCCCTCCCTGCCACGGGCCACTGAGCCAGGGACAGGGCCTCTGACAACTGCCATAACCCCTAAAGGGGGCAGGGGGGCAGGCCCCACCGCGCCAGAGCTGCTGACCCCACCCCCAGGAACTACGGCCCCGCCCCTCCCCGGCCCCGCCTCCCCAGGCCCGCCCCTTGGGCCTGAGGGAGGGGAGGAGGAGACCACGACCACCATCATCACCACGACAACTGTCACCACGACAGTGACCAGCCCAGGTGAGGCGATTGAGAGCCGAGGGGCTGGTGTGCAAGCGCACTGGTGTGTGTGTGGGGGGGAGGGTATGGACAGGGAAGACGCCCCTGGGAACGTGTGCAGGAAGCAGGGATCCGGGTGCAGGTGGGAGAGGGGCCTGGCTTACTGTGAAGGAAGGCGAGCATTTTATCCCCATGTGATGTCCCAGGCACTGTTCCGCGTGTTTTCTCTACACGACAGCGGTGGGAGGGCGTTCTGGGCACAGGTGGGGGGGGGGTCAAGGTGATGAGGGGTGTTGGGCAGGAGGCAGGTGAGGAAGCTCCAAGTTGCTTGGCTGGGAGGGCAGGAACACGGGGCTTCGCTCAACCCCAGCCACTGTGTCTCTCTAGTTCTGTGTAATAACAACATCTCTGAGGGCGAAGGGCATGTGGAGTCTCCAGATTTAGGGAGCACCGCCAGCCGTGCCGTAGGGCTCCTGGACTGCACGTACAGCATCCATGTCTATCCTGGCTACGGCATCGAGATCCAGGTAACTGGACTTGAGCTTTGATTCTGAAGCCTCCAGGCCCTTTCTCTTGGGTCCAATGGTGTGCATAGGTTTGCCCTGGGAACCCCAGAACCTGTTTTCTGATTCAAATGGGCCTGTTTTCTCCAAGACTCTCCTAGAAACCTGTAACTTGGCCAGTGGCACCAGTTTGGGCTGTAACACACAGGGAAAAGGAAGACAGGGAACAGGGGGAGAGTCAGGGATCCACACGCCCTGGCTAACGTGCTGGTGGGGCTGGGTCTCACTTCTTTAGGTGCAGACACTGAACCTGTCTCGGGAGGAGGAGCTCCTGGTGCTGGCTGGTGGGGGGTCCCCAGGTCTGGCCCCCCGACTCCTGGCCAACTCCTCC